AAAACCACGGTTGCTTTAATGGTACAAATGTTGACTGGCATATGTGAATAAATTTTGTTACGAAATCCTAAGAGTATAATAATTTATAAATCTTTGAGTTTTGTTTGTGATTTGCTAAATTTTTTCTAGATTAAAATAGACTCTAATTCGTTAATTAGTACTTTAATATTTTGTTTTTTTTAAGTTTTTCCTTTTAATTCTTTTAAATGATAATTTTTATTTATGTATTATGTTAACTTTTTCGATTTTTTATAAGCGTATCTTTTTAGTGAATTTGTATTATGGACATCCGACAGATGGCTAAAGCTATGTCTTAGTGTCATAAAAAAATTTCTTATCACACTTAGAAGTATACCTACAACTAATTCAGGACTAGCCGCATTTCCTGTTGGGTAGTCATGTGTACATATTGCAAGCACGTGGATACATAAATATTCTGGTTAACATTTATGTGTATAAGTTATGTGTATATATTTACATAAAAATATATCCTTGTTTGCACACTATTTAAGGTGAATGTTGTAATTTCCTTGATAACGAAATGCTTCATTCTTTTACGGGTACGGGTAGTTTTAAGGACAATTTTCTTCGCAACTCTGCTATTTTCATCCATGAAACGTACACAAATGTGTGCGGGGACATGTGTATGTATGTACAGCTGCTTGCTTTTCTTTTTATGTTTGCACGTATGTATGTAAATGTGTATTAAAAAAATTAATTTTATTTAAACACTTTAATGCATACGATACCAGCCACTGAACTTGATAGCAATGAATTCATTTCGCAGCTCACAAAATTGCTTCGCCAAATATGAAAAAGTCTTGACGAGAGATTTCCCAATCAATAGTATATGGAAGGAAGTTAACAAATGATTGTCAAAACTGACCTTGATATGTCTTTCACTCGAACATAAGGACAATAGCAAGGACATGCATATTTTTTTCAAGCATGAATAGAACAAATTGACTCAATCGGCAAGCAAAACAAAAGTTAAATGTTTTTAGGTTTACTAAGTAAATTGTTAAAATATAAAAAATTATACCAAGTTGGATAAAATATAAAATAATTATTATTAAATAATTATTATTAAAATTTAACCTACTTACAGTACATTAACACCATCGCAATGTATTCGATACATGTGTACCAGCGGCTACCTATTCTTATCCAAAACCTCTACTAATGACTTAAATGTTGAATACTTTTTTACTGATTAACCTAAAAACGTATTTGGTTTATAATAGAATATTAAATAATAGAAACACAATAACAAAATCATCGAAGAACCTTTTCTGAAGTTTTATAATTAAGCGATTTTTTGCACTTACCATATATAAATCTATATTCATAACCTATATAGACCCGACGGTCGCACTCCCACAACTCATAGCAATAATAATAGTACTATTGCATTTGTATTACATGATAAATACAAATGCAATAGTACTATTATCATTGCTATGGGGTGTGACACTGGGACGGTCGGGTCTATATAGTTCATGGATACAGATTTATCTATGGTAAGAGCAAAAAACGACTTCATTATAAAACTTTAGAAGAGGTTCTTTGATACCCAACAGTTGCGCTGCCACACCCCATAACAATAATAATAATACTATTATTATTGCTATTGGGTGTGACATTGCGACCCTCGGGTCTCTTGTACCCTAATGCAATAGTAGCAAGATTGTACAAAATTTTTATTATTGATTCTCGACATTTTCATAATTGTTTGCAAAATCCAATAGATAGATGTTTGCGTTCAATATTAAGAATTTGGTACGCTAGAATAATATCAAATAGTTAGCTATGGCGCATTACTGGTCAAAAACCGTTGAAGAAAGAAAGAGGTACACCTACGAAAATATGTTTGGCTAGGATACACGCTACGTGAACCAACAAAGTATATAACGGATAGTGCACTTTCCTAAAAATCGCAAAGACACAGAAAAAGAGGGTGACCAAAAATTACAGAGCGTAAAACAATCACAAATAAAGGATCCAAAACTATAAATGAACTGAGACTTATAGCTTGAAGACAACAACTTTAGAAAAAATTTGTTATTGTAATAAGCTAATAGGCTAAGTTCTATATAAAATTAATCGGAATGAACATGCTTAATAATAATAATAAAAAATACTTAATCACTCTGATGTGTGTGTCGAAATCATACAAAATATATATTTTTAATTCTTGATTTTTTCTATAATTGTATGTAATTTGGTAGAACCACCCAGATGACACGATGTTTATATACTAAAACTAAGGCACCAAGGAGCTACGTTCAAATTCTACTAAAACCTAAAAGCACGTAAGGTGTCTCTGTCTCAAGAATGGGGCTTCAAGCATCCCTCAAATTTAAATAGAAGAAAGTCTTTCCTAATAGCACTAATAGTAGCTCTGTCTCAGAAATAGGGCTTCAAGCATCTTTTAAATTCACAAAAATATCTAATTAAAAATATAAAAAAAAAATTATTTTAAAGGGGTATCGCTTGGGACTAATATGTGTGTGGCTGTCTTAAGACCAGCCAGATTTATCTAACCTAACATATATGTATATGTTTTCCCATAAAATATGTATGTACCTAAATAGGTATGTAGAATGGAAGAAGGTCAAATCTTTTCAATTAACTAAACAGGTCTTTTTGATTCATATTTTTCACAATATTGAAAAGATGTACAGATGTTTTAAAGAACGGAAGTTCTAGGTTGACTAGAATTAATTTTATCACTGATTTTAAAAGAGCTTAAGGCAAAAATGGTTAAAAATATTTGCAAACTGGAATGAAGAAATTACATATTTTATATGTGAAGTTTATTGTAAAATTGTTGTAGGCTTTTCTGTAAATTAATCACTACTGTCTTAACTGAATAACATCTTGTTAACAATAATTTTTCAAAGACTACTGCTTTAAAATGAAAAATGAAATATCCAGCTATCTGATTAATTGTAATTCTGAAGAAGTTACTTTTTATTTGAATTTCATTAAACTGACTAAGGTCTCACGTCTTAAAATAGAAGGTATTAGCAAATACTTCAATAGTCTTAATTTGTTATGTTAGGCTTCGGGAACTGTCTCCAAGGATAGCAAAATAGAGGTTACGAAAACCGCTTTACCATTCTCAATTCTAATATTAATAAGAATATAAATAAAAAGCCTTAGTATATATAAAAAAGAAAATAAGACATTGTGAAATTGATATTGAATAAAAAGATTTCAACCATTTGGCAGAGAAATAGGAGGACTCCTTATATATAAAAATTTGTCTTTTTGAGCTCGATTATCTAACAGATAAGTAATGAAATACAAATATATAATAATATATTATTATTATTATTATTGACATATAAATTCAAGAACTTATTTTAATCACAAAAGATTTCCATTTATTTCTATCACGCGCTATAGCTCTTAGTTCACTGAAAGATTTGTTCGATTCTCTGTCGATTTTCCTTCTCCATGTAGGTTTTGGTCGAACGCGATTCTTCTCCTTACCGACATGTGAGATTTCGCTGAAGAGTTTGCGTAGAATGTGGCCCAACCACCCATACTTACTTTTGACGATTAATTTATCAATTGGCTTTTGTTCCGTTATATCCCACAGTCGCTCGTTGCTGATCGTTCTAGGCCACCAAAATTTGTGTCAAGTATTTGAACATTAATAACTTAATTAACTTCTATCATATAACATCATTATTGGTTTATATAAAATGTTAGATTTTTTTCTCTCAATATTACAATATTCCTGACCGTGACCAACATATGTTATAGACGTATATATGGAATCTAGCGATTCCAGGCGAAGTAAGACCTGTACGTTGATTTGTAATAAGCTTTATTTAGAATGACGAAGTTTTTTTTGAATCTGCGAAATGCTTGAAGCTGCATTATTGAGAACTCCTGCAACAATAAGGAAAAATAATGGAAGGTTAGGTTAGGTTACGATCTACCTGATCGTAAGCACCACATAAATGTATTGATAACTAGAGATTCTAAATGGAACAAGATCTTTATGTAGCTTTGTAACAGACATCATGCGAAATGTTGCTTTATGCAAATCTGAGAAGTACTTGAAGCTCCATATCTCATAAGTTCTTCAACAATTAGTAAAAAGGAAATGTTGAGTACAGTTAAAAAAAAGTTGATTATATTAGATCTCTGATTGTAGTTTGAAAGCAGAGTATATGTGAGAGCAAAATGTAGTACAACGGCACTTACTTTTAAATCAGAAAAAATACCGGACCTTTGCATGTTTTCTAATTTTTTTTTTTGTATAGATACGGATACAGATGTAAATAGGATATCAAATTTCATGACGATGATATATATTTACGGATATAGATATAAACATTCAATATAACCAATCTTTAAATAATGAACTGATAATGCATATTCTTAATACAAGACCAATGCTACTGAGACTCAAACTCCAAATTCTTAAATTGTTACTTTCATGTACCTATAAATATATATGAAAATAAATGCAATATATAGAGATATGTATGGATGTGAGTTTCGTAATGAGAAAAACTATTTTTTAAGCGAGTGAAAGCAGCATTAACGCTATATATCACTCCACGCAGTTGTCTATGGTTGCGACTTTTAAAAGCAATTAAATTTTTCACAGGTGTTAGTTCTGTGTGACGTTAGTTGTATAGAAACTCTACGCTATACTACCGAACTAAAAATAATGTACGAGTTCTTTTACATATGAAATTCATGCAATGAGGTTCACAGAGAAAAGTAAACACAATGCATGCACGTTCGAGTGAATTCACACTACAAAGAGAAATATTCGAGGAGTTGTGTCAGGGCGTCAATTGTGATATGCAAAATTCTG